TTTTTTTTTTGTCCATTTTTTTCTAGTGTAAAATTTTTATAACCTCTAAGATTTAATTTGACCATATGTTTTTGCACATTCACTCAGAGTATCTTTTTTCAATGTTATTTCTTGGTAAATTGTTCCAGATTTCCCATATTCATGAAACAGTTTATAAGACGATCATGGAATAGGCATCTGGATCAAAGATTTCGTTTCCTCTATCAATATTAATTGAGCTTCTCTCTGGTGTATTCTTTGATGTACAGTAAGGCTTGAGCTACTCCTAAAGGCCTTTCCACATTCATTACATTTGTAAGGTTTTTCTCCAGTATGCATTCTCAGATGTACAGTAAAGTCTGAGTTAGTTCTGAAGGCCTTTCCACATTCTTCACATTTATATGGCCTCTCCCCAGTATGAATTCTCTGATGTAGAGTTAGCTGTGATAAGGTAATACAACCTTTCCCACATTCCTTACAGGTATAGGGTTTTTCTCCAGTATGTGTCCTCCAGTGTACTGTAAGGTATGAACCTCTCCTGAAGGCTTTCCCACAAACATCACATTTATAAGGTTTTTCTCCACTATGTATTTTCTGATGTTCTGTGACATGTACCATCTGGCTAAATGCTTTCCCACAGTCACGACATTTAAATGGTTTCTCTCCCGTATGTATTCTCTGATGGGTATTAAAGCCTGAATTACTTGTGAAAACTTTCCCACATTCATTACATTTATAAGGTTTCTCACCAGTATGCCTTCTTTGATGCACAGTAAGCTGTGATGTATTAGTGAAAGCTCTCTCACACTCATTACATTTATATGGTTTTTCTCCAGTATGGGTTCTCTGATGTACAATAAGGTATGACTTTGTCCTGAAGGATTTTCCACAATCATAACAATTATAGGGTTTCACCCCAGTATGAATTTTCTGATGTTCCTTGAGATTTACCATTTTGGTGAATGCTCGGTCACAATCAGTGCATTTATAGGGTTTCTCTCCAGTATGAATCCTCTGATGTACAGTTAAGTGTGACTTTATTCTGAAAGATTCACCACATTCATTACATAGGTAAGGTTTCTCTTCTGTATGGATTCGCTGATGTATAATAAGAGATGAAGAACGCATGAAGGCCTTTCCACATTCATTACATTTGTAGGGTTTCTCTCCTGTATGCATTCTGTGATGTACAGTAAGGCATGAATAATTAATGAAGGCTTTCCCACATTCTTTACATTTATAGGGTTTTTCTCCCGTATGGATTCTCAGATGTTCAGTGAAATTTGCTATACGGTTGAATGCTTTCCCACATTCATTACATTCATATGGTTTTTCTCCAGTATGAGTTCTGATATGTACAATAAGGCTTGAATTGCTTCTATAGGCTTTACCACACTCATCACATCTAAAGGGTTTCTCTCCAGTATGAATTCTCTGGTGAACATTAAAAATTGTGGTATTCTTGAAGGATTTTCCACACTCGTGACATTTATAAGGTTTCTCTTCTGTATGTGTCTTCGTATGTACACTAAGATATGACTTATTCCTAAAGGCTTTCCCACAGTCATTACATTTGTAGGGTTTCTCTCCAGTATGAGTTTCCTTATGTCTTATGAGTTTTGATTTATCACTGAAAGCTTTCCCACACTCACTACATTTATAGGGTTTTTCTCCAGTTTGAATTCTCTGGTGCTGATTAAGGCGAGCACACTGGCTAAAACATTTTCCACAGACATTGCATTGATAAGGTTTCTCTTTGGTATGAGTTCTCTGATGTACCATAAGAGATGAAGAAGCAATAAAGGCCTTTCCACATTCATTACACTTATAGGGTTTTTCTCCAGAGTGAATTTTTTTATGTTGACTAAGATACGAAGGCTGGCTGAACATTTTCCCACATTCATTACATTTGTAAGGTTTTTCTTTAGTGTGAGTCCTCTGGTGTTGAACGAGCAATGATCTATAACAGAAGGCTTTGTCACATGCACTACATTTGTAGGGCTTTTCTTTATAATTAATTTTCTTTTCCAAAATAAGTTCTGATGTATGCCTAATGGCATTGCTGCCTTTAGTCTCCTTGCAAATTTTCTTCCCCAAATGAGTATCCATAATCAAATCTAAATTCTCTGTAAAACTATCCTTGTGTGCGTGGCATTTGCTGCGGGACTTCTCTGTGATAATCTCTGGTTCTGAAAAAAGAACAGATCCAAACCTAAAGCCTCCTTGAGCAGTGAGAGTGTTCCTATGTGTAACTATTCTTCGATTCAAATGACTCTCCTGTTTATTTTGCAATCTCAGTATCCTGTTATTCCATGATCGTCCCAGACGGAAACTCCATAGGCCATTCTCTGTAAGCTTCTCCACTATGGTACCCTGTGGTAAGTCTTCTTCAGAAAATTCCTCTGTTAGTACAGTATCCTTGGTTGCCAATTTGGTCTCCAACTCTAGAGAAAAAAGGGAAAAATCAAATTACTTGTATTTTGTCTTGGGAGCTATATCCTAAACAGATTTTTTAAAACAGGAAATTTAGACTACAATGAATAAATGGCTTCAAACGCTTGTATATTATCCTTGTTTTCTGGGAATAAAGCAGGGCTAAGGAGCTCTGGTAGCGTAGTGGTTACGAATCGG